GCGGCGCCCGCGCCGGGCTGGGGCTGCTGCTGGGCACCGCCGCCGGCCTCGGCTTCCTGTGCCTCTTCTACGGCCAGCGGTGGCGACGGACCCAGCGCCATGGCCGGAACCAGAGCCTGCCCAACTCCCTGGACCACGCGCCAACGCCGGAGTCCGGCCGCCCAGGTGAGGGGGAGGCCGCGGCGGCGGCCGGGGGCCAGAGCAAAGCCGGCCCCGTGTTCCTCCTCTGCCCGCTGTGGCTCCAGGGGAGAGGACGGAACACCTGGGGAGCTCTCAGCGTTAGCTCCGGCCACAGCGAGCGACCACCACAGGTCTCGCAGGAATGGAAGCCGCGAGGCTCAGGTCTTGAATTACGGGCTCGAGTTGGAAGGGAGTTGGGACACCCATCCGACGTTGCTGCTGTTTTCCTAATCTTCATGAGCAAACAGATTCAGAGGGATCGTGTAACTTTTCTGAGGTGGTCACAGAAGTGGCAAGGTTGGGTCTGGTCCCCTGGTCCCGTGAACGTAACGCTGCACGGCGTGGTGCAGCCTCAGCTGCCGCGGGTTGTGCTTTTTGCTTCCTAACACCTGCAGGTTTACTCCTCCGACCAAATCATCTAGGGCTTGCTGAAGCCATTGCTCCTAGATGATCTCATTTCATGTTAATTGGAAATGAGTGTGTCCCCTAGCTACCTGTTTTAGGAGTTCTGGAAGATTCTTCCCAGAGTTAATCACGACTGATTGCAGCAGGCTGTTAGCCTTTGACATGGTGTGGCAGGTGTGCGGTCTTTCTGTGTATTCACTTGTAATTTTTTTAAGAAGTGGTCTACTGAGGTTGGGGGAAAGAGGCCACATTTCCATCTTTCTTGCTCTATTTTTTTTTTTTTTTTGCCAGTTATGGGGCTTGAACTCTACCGTTAAGACTCTACCATTGAGCCACAGCGCCATTTCTGGCTTTTTCCGTTTATGTGATACTGAGGAATCGAACCTAGGGCTTCATGCATGCTAGGCAAGCAGTCTGTTATGAAGCCACATTCCTAGCCATTGCTTTACATTCTTGAACACTGTTGGAAATGTACTGGGGTTGGGCCAAATTACCCATAACTGAGGAAGTTACGCTGCGTGTTCTGTTTCTGCCTTGACTGTGCATTCTTCAGCTCATGTCACTGTTAGGACACACACAGAGCCCAGTTCAGGCAGGATGGGTGATGAGCTTCTGGGGTCTGACTGGGCTTTTTCCAGTGCTGCTCCTTTTCCTTTTTCCTGTCCCTGATATAACCGAATGAAGTTCTCAAGAGAAGTGGAGTTTACTATTTGTGAAGTGAGATCAGAATTTGACGGAATTGATGGGCTCAAACTGGTAATCTTAGCTTTTCTTTCAGGAGGTTGAGATCTGCAGATTGTAACTCAAAGTTAGCTGAGGTGGAAAGTCCAGGAGACACTTAACTCTAGGTAACCAGCAAAAAGTCAAAAGTGGAGCTGTGGTTCAAATGCTAGACTGCCTGTCTTGAGTTCAAGCCCCAATTAGAAAGGAAAAAGAATTTGAAGTTGGGCAGGAGGCTGAGATCTGAGTATCACAGGATGAAGTCAGCCCTGACAAGCAAGTCCATGAGTTTTTTGTTTTTCCCCTACCAGTACTGGGGCCTGAACTCAGGGCCCGGGCACTGTTTCTGAGTTGCTTTTGTGCAAGGCTAGCACTCTACCATTTGAGCCACAATGCCTTTTCCATTTTATGGGCTACTAAGGAATCGAACCCAGGGCTTCATGCATGCTAGGCAAGCACTTCCACTAAACCACATTCCCAGCCCCTCCATGAGACTCTTAATCTGCAGTTGACCATCAACAAGCTGGAAATTGACCTGTGGCTCAAGAGTGTTAGTCTCGAACACAAAAGTTCAGGGACAACTTCAAGGCCCTTAGTTCAAGCTCTCGGACCAGCTCGTGCGTGAACACACACACACACACACACACACACACACTCTCACACTCACTCACTCACTCACTCTTGAGTACCCTGTTTTACTGTGTTGTTGATATTAGCTGCCTGGTTTGGGCAGATTTTACGTTTACTCCTGGGCGGCTCTCCTGCCTTCTGGGCACTGCATCCTGCAAGCATTTTACATTATCTGTGGTGTGCAGCGTGACTTCAGAGCTGTACTGCGAGCAATTCTCAGAGAAGATTGGAACTTTACTGTTTTTCTGGTTACTTGGAACTTGTTATCACAAATTGGGCTCTTGAGTATACGGTATCTGAGCCTCAGGGTTTTCTCTATAAATTGAACTCCAGTGAAAAAGGAGTATTCTAGAATTGTAGGTGTGAGAACTCCCCAGTGTATCTCATGGGTATCTGTGTCTCCTGTCCCCTGTCCTTCAGTGATGCGGTCACGAGCCATCCCAGGGGAGGCTGGAGATGCTGCGGTGCTGCCCAGCCTTCCACAGGAAGGGCAGGAGAAGGTGCTGGACCGCCTGGACTTCGTGCTGACTAGTCTTGTGGCACTGCGGCGGGAGGTGGAGGAGTTGAGAAGCAGCCTGCAAGGGCTTGCTGGGGAGATTGTTGGGGAGGTCCGGTGAGTAGTGCAGCTTCCTCCCTGTTCCTCCTCCCCCATCCTCTCCTCTTCCTTCCACTAATGCTTTTTCCACGGTTTGGGGCTTTGCTGTCTTTTTTTTCCCTGCTAGTCCTGAGGCTTGAACTCAGGACCTGAGCAATGTCCTTGAGATTCTTTTGCTCAAGGCTAGCACTGTAGCACTTGAGCCACAGCGCCACTTCTGGCTTCTTCTGTTTATGTGATGCTGTGGAACCCAGGGCTTCATGCATGCTAGGCAAGCTCTTTACCACTAAGCCACATTTCCAGCTCTTGCTGTCTGTCTGTAAGAAAGAAGACAGGGTGTGTGTGTGTGTGTGTGTGTGTGTGTGTGTGTGTGTGTGTGTGTGCATGTGTGTATGTATGTAGTAGGGCTGGATCTCAGGCCTGGTGCTCAAGGCTAGAGCTCTACCACTTGAGCCATAGCTCCTCTTTCAGCTTCTTTTGTCAGTTAATTGAGATGAGTCTCATGGACTTTCTTGCCTGGGCTGGCTTTGAACTGCTATCTTTGGATCTCAGCCTCCTGATTACAGGCCTGAGCTACTGGCACCCAGCTCCCAGCTGAAAAGCCAGATCTATAGTTTCTGACTTAATGTTGGAGGAAGCTGCTGTTTGGCTCCTTATCTTGTACCAGCTCCTGGTTGTGTCCAGGTACTGTTGGTCTGTTTTACCAGATGGAACTCCTTGTTCTGCCCAATCTAGTTGGCCAAGCTGCCTGTGCCCGGGGGATGCTTTGAGCTCTCCTGACGGTGGAGACCAGAGGCTTTTTTGGCCTCTGGCTGTTTTGGCTCCTTTCTTATTTTCTTATTTTATTGTTATTTTAGAGGTGATATACAGCAGTTACCTTTGCACATGTCAGGTGTAAGTACATTTATTTCCTTGTGGTTATGTTGCTTTGTCATCCCCTCCCTCCCATCTCTGCCCGTGAGTTGTTTGGTTCACTTTCCACATGTCCGGAGCCAGTGGGCTCTGCTGCTGCCCTCTTCCCTCCCCCGACCTTCCCTAGATGTGCACTTGCATACACCGTGTAGAAGGGAAAGAATACAGCGTCATCTAGAAGGACAAATTAAGAAGCAGTCCTTCGTTTCCTTATCTTTGGAGATTAGTTCAGGGTTCAGTGTGTATATTATATACATATGAAAAGGTGCTTGGGGGTTACAATTTGGTGCTCTTCTCTTTTGGTCTCCATGTAAATGGGTGTCTAGGATCCTGTATACTAGGCCATATCCCATTGTGTTTTAAATCTGACTTCTGCATATTGCGGAGAACAGGTGTCTTGGCTCCTTTAATGAGGGGGAGCAGTCAGAGTGAGGGGAGAGACAGCTGATGAGGCCTGTGTTCCAGATCGCACATGGAAGAGCACCAGAGAGTGGCTCGGCGGCGCAGGTTCCCATGTGCGCGGGAGAGGAGTGACTCCACGGGCTCCAGCTCCATCTACTTCACAGCCTCCTCGGGAGCCGCGTTCACGGACGCTGAGAGCGAAGGGGGGTGAGTCATCCGGCTGCAGCAGGCGGGGCTGCAGGTAGCTGTGTTGGCCAAAGTAGTATTTGTCAGTGGAAGATTCAAAGTAAGCTGCTGTAAACACTTCCTGGAGCGTGATCAGGGTGTGAGTAAATCAGCTGAAGTAACACCTATATATGTCATTCAGACAACTAGAAATGTTAGCAATGGTGCATGTATTATTTTCCACGTCACTTTTGTTGTTTGTTCTGTTTATTTGAGAGAGAGCCTCACACATAGACCAGCCTGGCTTTTTTTTTTTTTGGTAGATCATGGTGTTGAACTCTGCTGTCCCTGAGCTGTTTTGCTTAAGACTAGCATTGTGCCCCTTTAAAGCATTATTTCAGGTTTTCTGGTAATTCTCTCCAGGCTGGCTTTGAGCCGTGATCCTCAGATCTCAGCTCCTTGAGTAGCTAGAATTATAGGTGTGAGCCACCAGTGCCTAGCTAACAGCCTGGCTTTGAACTTACTATGTCACCCAGCCTGCTCTCAAACTCACGTTTCTTTTGCCTTAGCCTCTCTAAGGAAAGGCAGATGAGAGCTGACATGTACTTTCATTGCATCTGAGGAACGCAGTGTACACTTTGGGTGGGCGCATCTCGCTGTCTCCACACCTTGGCTGTTGTGAATAGTGCAGCAGTGGAACTGGATGTTGCCTGTAACGACCTGGAGTGCCGCGGCTGGGGTGTAGGGTCGTTCTAGGCGGAGTTTTTTGAGGAACCTCCCAACTGCCTTACAGAGTGGTTATACTAGTTTAGTTCACATTGCCACCAGTGCAATAGGGTTCCTTTTCCCCTACATCCCAGCCAATATTTATTGATGTGTACATCCGCAATGTTGGCTAATCCAACTGGGGTGAGATGGAATCTCGAGTTGTGTCAATTACCTTTATGATCAGGGATAGTAAACATTTCTTCATGTGTTTCCTTGCCATTCTTCTTCTGAAATCTCTCTAGCTCCTTTGCCCCCTTACTGATTGGTGTATTAGTTTGCAGCGGTTTATTTTGAGCTCCTTGTGTATTTTGTACAGTAGGCCTCTGTCGGATGTGTTGCTGGTAAGGCTCTTCTCCCAGTCGGTTGGTTGTCTTTTCTAGTTTAGTAACTAGGTCCTTTGCTGTATGCACTGCTTCTTACTGAGCGGCCCCTATCCAAAACAGGTAAAGTCTTGATAAAGAATCTTTAGTCCTTTATTTGTTACTCTGTTGCCTGGGCTGTCAGACCCCTAGTATCTGCACAGTTCATGAGCGAGCAGAGGCTGGGAATGTGGCTTAGTGGTAGAACGCTTGCCTAGCATGCATGAAGCCCTGGGTTCAATTCCTCAGTACCACATAAAGCCAGAAAGGGCGCTGTGGCTCAAGTGGTAGAGTGCTATCCTTGAGCAAAAGAAGCTCAGGGACAGTGTCCAGGCCCTGAGTTCAAGCCCCAGGACTGGCAACAAAACACAACAACAAAAAAACCTAGCAGAAACGGTTGCTTGTTAACATATTTACCTAGAGCTTTGGGCCTGAGGCACTTCCTTAGCTATGTCTGAGGAGTGGGCAAAAGTAAAACAATCATTTGATGATTCTGGATGTCAAAGTTTAAAGTAGTAGTGGGCAAAGATGATGTTCCAGTTCTAGGTACCAGGTACTGTGCTGCACGTTGGTGATCTCAGCACTGGGCAGTGTGTTCAAGGCCAGTCCACACTGTCTGAAAACAAAAACAAAACACAGTAAAACCTCCGGCATCAGCGAGAGCCAGTGTAGGAACTAAACTGCTTGCTGCTTAGGTTGCTTGCTCAGTCTTCAAAGGCCACAAGGAGTGTGTGATTGTGGGTGGGGACGGGGGTGGGCAGCCAGCTGTGGTGCCTAAAGTGTAGCTAGTGTTGCGAGTTACAGCTCCAGCAGGTGCAGCCATGACCCAGCCTGGGGCACCTAAATGCTGGTGTGGTGCAAGACTGCTTCCCCAGCTGCTCTCTGGGGCAGTGGCACCGAGAGTCTTCATCTTGACAGCTGCCATGTAGGTCAAGGGGAGGTTCGGGAGGAGGCCACAGGCTGAAATGGCCTCGCGCATTTGGGCTGTGGGAGGGGAGCGCTTCATTTAGGGATGGAGGGAAGAGAGCGACAGTCCTGGTCCGCTGGAAGCTGATTCCCGAGTTCTGAAATTGGCTGTGGCAGAGGCGGGACCATTGTGCAGCTTGTAAGCTTGGTCCCTCATTCAGAGCTTGCCTGACCACGGCTGACCTGAGGAAGGGGGGGTGGTAAGGTGGGAGATCCCCACAGGGGATGCCCGAGAAGGCCAGAGCCAGTCTGCCTACCCGTGGGATCCGCATGGGACTCCAGGGCCTCTGCCCTCTCAAGCATGCCCCACCTCAGTGCGAAGTCCCTCCCTCCCTCCCTCCCTCCCTCCCCTAAAAATTATGTTCCTCTTGACTGCCTGCAAGTCCCAAGGGCCTGTTCCAGAGAACCTGCTAGTCCCTGACCTTAAGAGCCTGGGGCTTGTTAAGCAACAGCTCCTCCCCTCCTCGGTGGGTGTCCACCAGCTGGGAAAGGCGCAAGGTGCGAGGATGGCGCAGGAATTCTCTTGTCAGTCTCACAAGCCAGCTGGTGGGGCAGGAGCTCTGGTGGGGGTGAGGGGCAAAGTGCCCCTGGGCTAGCCTTGCTGGAGCCCAGCGCTTCCCAGGCTCTGCCAGCTCTCACTCCACAAGGCTCCTCCTCACCGCTGCTGCTCCTCTGGCTTTGACCTTTAGCCTTGGGGGCGGGACACCACTAAGGCTCTCTCCTCCTGGCTCTGCTCCAGCCGGGTGAGGGCGTTGCTCCCTCCCTGGGAATGCCAGAGGCAGAGCAAGAGACAGAAGGAGACCAGCGCAGCGCACCAGATAAATCACTTATTCCTTTGTGGGCCTGACTGGCCGGGGAAGGCGCCCTCCTCCTTCAGGAGGAGCTGTCCAAGCCTCAGACTCGGGTGGTTTTCCCCAGGGTGTCCTTGTGCGAGACCTTAGGCCACCTTCCTCTGTCCCTTTGATTTCTGAACTGTTTACAGCAAATTGCTATGAGAAATACACTTTGATGACCTCTTTAAAGACCAGTACAAGTTCTTGGAGATGTTTCCAGGACCTTTTTCAGATTGACAAGCTCCTGGAGGAAGCAGCTTAGACCATGCTTGACCTAGGGGCAGAATCTGCTGTCAGTGGCTCCCGCCGCGGACCTTGGCCTGTCTCCCTGGCCTTTGGCCCTCCTAGCCCATCTGCTTAGCACCGCCTCCTGTCATCCCGAGAGCAGAAGGTTTACCCCAACAGCCGCCGCACCTTCTCCGTGCCATTTGTAACGTCATACATAGGCCAGACAAAGTTGATTATTAATAGCCATGGGCCACAGGCAGCTGAAGAAAGCCAGGAAGCATACATCTGTCCCATCATTCCCCAATGGTTTTTTATTATAAAGGTGATGTGCGGAGGGGTCAGCGTTACGTACGTCAGGTAAAGAGCACATTTCCTTTTGGATAATGTCACTCCTTCCCTCACTGTCTCCCAGTTTTTCCCTTCCATCTCCACCCACAAGTTGTATAATTGATTTTCAACGTAGTGTCTAGTGAGTACCACTGCTGCCCTTGTTCACTCTCTGCCTCCATTTCTGCGCCTCCCCTTGTCTTCGCAGCTCTACCACCTGAGCCACAGCGCCACTTGCAGCTTTTCCTTATGTGGTGCTGAGGAATCAAACCCAAGGCCTCATGCATGCAAGGCAAGCACTCTACCACTGAGCCACCTTCCCAGCCCCACATCCCCTTGCCTTCTCAAAGGCAGATAAATGAACAAACAAGACACAAAACCAGCAACAAAGAAAAAAACTCGTTTCCATTTCCTGGAGTTCATTTCGCTAAATCGTATTTTGGGTGATGAGAGGCACACAGGCATGTGCCTTTGTGCTCCTCTCCTGAGCATCCTCGTTTGGTCCCACGGTGTGCAGGTGCCTACAGTCCTGCATCATTTATTAAGTCCTGGTGTATTTTAGACCTCGTTTCCACACTTCAGAGAAAATACGGGTTGTTTGTCTCTCTGCTCTTGGCTTACCTTACTTAACATGATTTGTTCTAGTTCCATTTCCCTGCAAATGATACATTATTTCTAATGGCACATCTTCATGGCCAGGGATGATGAGCATTTTGTGTTGCTTTTTGCCATTCTTAGCTCCTTTGCCCATTTAATGACTGGCTCATTAGGCATGGGAGGGGTTAGTTTCTTGAGCTCCTGTATATATTATATGCTTGATCCAAGGTATTGCTGGTGAACCTCTTCTCCCAGTCTGCTGGCTGTCTTTATAGTTTAGTAACTATGTCCTTTGCTGTGCAGAAAAATTTTTTTTTTTGGGTCCGATCGTGGGGCCTGAACTCTGGGCCTGGGCGCTGTCCCTCAGCTCTTCAGCTCAGGGCTCGCACCCTACCACTTGAGCAATAGCACTTCTGTCTTTTTTTTTTTTTTCCTGCTTGTGTAGTGCTAAGGAATCAAACCCAGGGCCTCATGCATGCAAGGCAAGCGCTCTACCACTAAGCCACCTTCCCAGCTCTGTGCAGAAAGTTTTTAGTGTGATAAAATCCCATCTGTCTAGTCTCTCCTGTTGTACCTCCGACTCTTTTCAAAAAGTTTCTGCTTATACCTATGAGTTCTAGTATTTCTCCTACTCTCTGTTGCAGTAATTTCAAAGTTTCAGGTCTGATATGGAGGTCTTTGAGTTGATAGGTGGATTTTTTGTTGTTGTTGTTGTTGCAGTATTGGGATTGAATTTAGGGTATTGGGATGATAAGAGCTCCTAGTCAAACAGCCAGAGAGTTAGTACTAGGGTTTGAACTCTACCTCATGCTTGTTAGGCACTCTGCTACTTGAGTCCCATACCCTCTGCCCTTTCTTTGGGGGAGGGGGGGACACGGGGGTATTAGAGCTTGAACTCAAGGCCTCAAAATGTTGCTTTGCTTTTTTTTGGATGAAAGTTGGGTCTCTACCACTTGAATAACACCTCTATTTCTGGATTTTTGGTGGGATTTGGAGATATCTCTTTCGTTTGTTTCCTTGGGTTTTTTTTTTTTTTTTTCAGTCCTGGGGCTTGAACTCAGGGCCTAGGTACTGTCCCTGAGCGTCTTTTGCTCATGGCTAGCACTCTACCACTTGAGCCACAGCACCACTTCTGGCTTTTCCTGTTTATGTGGTACTGAGGAATCGAACCCAGGGCTTCATGCATGCGTTGACTTCTAAACTTTTGATTCTCAGATCTTAGCCTCTTGAGTACCTGTGTTTACAGGTATGAGCCACTAGCAACAAGTTCTTTTTGTTTTTTGCCAGTCATGGGATTTGTGCTTGGGGTGGGTGCTGTCAGATCTTTTGCTCAAAGCTAGTGCTCTACCACTTTGCGCCACAGCTCCACCTTCTGGTTTTCTGGTGATTAATTGGTGGTGAGTCTCATGGGGACTTTTCTGCCTACCTGGCTTCAAACTGATCCTCATATTTCAGCCTCTTGAATAGCTAGGATCACAGGTGTGCGTTGCCGCTCCCTGGCTCTTTCTTTTTTTGAAGTATCTCACAATATAGCCCAGATTGGTCTTTTTGGTCATGGGGCTTGAACTCTGGGCCTGGGTGCTGTCCCTGAGCTCTTCAGTTCAAGGCTAGCACTCGACCCCTTGTGCCACAGCATCACTTCGGCTTTTTTTTTTTTGGTCGGTCATGGGGCTTGAACTCTGGGCCTGGGTGCTGTCCCTGAGCTCTTCAGTTCAAGGCTAGCACTCGACCCCTTGTGCCACAGCATCACTTCGGCTTTTTTTTTTTTGGTCGGTCATGGGGCTTGAACTCTGGGCTTGGGCGCTGTCCCTCAGCTCTTCAGCTCAAGGCGAGCGCTCTACCACTTGAGCTACAGCGCCACTTCTGGTTTTCTAGTGGTTTATTGGAGATAGAAGTCTCACGGTCTCTCCTGCCTGGGCTGGCTTTGAACCATGATCCTCAGATCTCAGCCTCCTGAGTAGCTAGGGTTACAGGTGTGAGCCACCAGCGCCAGGCTTTTGGCTTTTTTTTAATGTGGTGCCGAGGAATCGAATCCAGGGCCTCAGGCATGCAAGGCAAGCACTTTACCACTGAGCCACCTTCCCAGCCCCAGGATTGTCTCTCTTGAAGACTAGCTATAAGTGATGAGATTTTTACTTGGACAACAGTGCTGAGTCCCTCTTTGTGCACAAAGGGCAGACAGATGGGGCTTTGAACAGAGAGGTTCCCTTCTGTAAGCCTGCCATTTACAATTCTCCGCCAGTTACACCACTGCCAATGCCGAGTCCGACTACGAGCACGACTCTGACAAGGAGAGTGAGGATGAGGAAGATGAAGCGAGCTGTGAGACCGTGAAAATGGGAAGAAAAGATTCTTTGGACTTGGAGACAGAGGCAGCTTCAAAACCAGTGTCTGGCTCCCTGGAGGCCGAAGCCTCCGCCTCCGGCCTTGAGGAGGTGCGGCTGCTCCTGCAGCAGGCAGACGAGCTGCACCAGGGTGGCACGCAGAGCAAGCGCGACGGCTTCCAGCTGCTGCTCAACAACAAGCTGGCGGTGAGCCTGCCCTCCCTCCTCCGTCCTCCCCCTCCCCATGTGGCTCCTGCCTCCTTTCCTGCAGGGCAGCATGGGAAGGGAAGTGGGGATGGGATAGTGGGTTCTGTGTGTGCCCAGATCTCAGGCTACGTGTCCCACGGGCCCCAGGCGGCTCCTCCATGCCTGCGGAACTTCCCAGAGCTGCTCCTGTACGTCGAGGGTGTGGGAGGGACAGACATTTCCATCTGCCCATCAGCTCTTTTCTTGAGGCAGAGCCTTGCTTACCTGCCCTCCTTAAATATTTGTCACAACCATCTTACAAGTCAACCACAAAATGTGTGCTTACCCTCCCCAGAACTACCATTTGCCTTTTTTTGTAGCTTCCCGTTTTGGTGGGGAGGCCTTGGGTGCTGACTCACTCGAGCCCCAGCTATGCTCCCAGCTTTTTGTGCTTAACTGGGGATTAGTCTTAGAACTTCCCTGTCCAGGTGGCTTTGAAAGGTGATGCTCAGGTCTCAGCCTCCTGCGTAGTTAGGATCAAAGGTGTGAGCTATCAGGGCATGGTCTGTTTCACACTTGTGTGCATGTGTCTGCACCAGCACACATGGTCCTGGGGCTTGAACTCAGTCTGGGTGACGTCCCTTAGCCTTTCCACTCAAGGCTGGCACTCTACCACTTGAGCCACACCTCCAAAAGTTGCGTATTTTTCCTGTGTCTGGAGGGCATCTGCTGGGCCTCGCATCTTGGAGTTGACCTTTCCTCCTGGCAGAATTAGGACAGAATGTCCTCACCCTGCATTGTGCAAACTGCCGGCTACAAGTGCCATGAGTTGGCCTTGTGTCAATTTTAAAGCTAAACTAGGGCGAGGGGAAGGCCAGGCCCTCATTCTTCATGGCTGAGGGACCTGCCTTTCTGTTTGGTCTGCAGTATGGAAGCCATCAGGACTTTCTCTGGCGCCTGGCCCGGGCCTACAGTGACATGTGTGAGCTCACTGATGAAGTGAGTGAGAAGAAGTCGTATGCCCTTGGTGGTGAGTACCTGTGGCGGAGGCCCAGCCAGATGCCACCTGTCTGGGCAGTGTAGCTGGTCTCTTCTCAGCATGGTGGACTGCTTACCTAGGATGTGCTGGGCCCTGGGTTCACCCTCAAAGAAAAAGCAGCAGCAGCAGCCTGCTTCTCTGCGTGTTGCTATAACACAGGAGGACTTTTTCATACTCATGTCATGGTAGGATTAAAGTTTTTTCTCGTCGTCACGGGGCTTGAACCTCTGGGCCTAGGTGCTGTTCCTCAGCTCACTTCCAGTTTTCTGGTGGTTTATTGAAGATAAGAGTCTCACAGACTTTCCTGCCTGGGCTGGCTTTGAACTGTGATCCTCAGATCTCAGCCTCCTGAGTAGCTAGGATGGCAGGTGTGAGCCACCAGCATCTGGCCTAGGACTAATCTTTGATTCTTACTACCCAACCATAATGGGTTACAAGGCCTACTTTCTGAAACACTAGAATTCCAGCTGAGTTGGAGCCTACACGGCAGGTGTTCTGAGAGTAGAGTCCTTATTGTACATGGTGACAAGCATTTGGGTGATTGCTGCTACTTCTTAGGTCCCTACCCTCGAGGGTGGGGTGGGCCTGGGTTCAGCCTGGCCTCTGTCATGTGGTCAAGTAAACTTGTTAACAAGAAGCCCTGCCTACACAGAAGATTCCAGATAACCAGCAAAATATAGCCTGGAAATGTGGCTGATGAGGTACAGCAATTAGCCATGAGCAAATTAAGGGAGAGTGAGGCTCCGAGTTCATGCCCTAGTACCAAAACCAGAACGTATCTCCAGTATGTAACACTGCCCAGCCACCCCTGGCCACCTCTGCTGCCAGGCACCGGGGAGCGCCATGACCCGAAGGAAGCTGGCTCACTGCTCTGAGCTTTGAACTAGACAGTAATTTGAGAACACTTCGAGAAATACAGGTCATTCCTCCAACAAAATGCTCTGGGGGTTTGATTTTGTGGGAACCCATAGATTGTTGATGAGGCCATAACAAAGAGGTGGGCCGCTTCACAGGTGCTGGTGGACAAGGCGTCCGTATGGCGGTGAATGGTGGTAGAATCAGTGTGAGCCTGGCCACAGCAGTGCACATGGTGAAGGAGGTGGCAGTGTAGGGTGTGTGTGTGTGTGTGTACGAGGCTCTGGCAGGCTCCACAGTGATGCTGTAGGCAGTGTGTTTTCAAGATAGCAAAGGCTGTAGCTGCAGGTTTGGGAGCTGGTGACTGACGAGGCTGTAGCGTGCTGCACTCCTCACTGGATCTTGTTGCTTCGCAGCCTACCGCCCCAACCCACTCAGCGCCCCTCCACTTAGCTGCTCTGCAGCGTTTTCTGTGACATGTGGGCACCACTCGAGTTGTGTTAGCTTTCACGTGTCTCCACTTGGCTCTTCTGTCCATCTTGCCAAGACCAAGTGAAAACCAGGATATCTAAAATTTTATGCAAAATAGGGTTCCCGGAGAATAAAGTTTGCGGGGGGGATAGTGCCTATTGGTTTTTATGTTTGAAATGCTAACATTTGTTTCAAGTACATTAGGTGACCACGAACCGAGCGAGGTAGTGTATGCCTATAAGCTCAGTACTTGGAACGTGAAGGCCGGAGGATCTTAACTTTGAGGTCAGTATAGGCTATAGGTAACAAGAGTGTAAAAGAATAAAGCTCAAGTGCTGACAAAGGTGTGTTCAAGTTCACAAACTGTTTGCAAACAAGTCTCAACTTGGGTTAGGCTTGGTCATTCTTAGGTGCTAGTGGTACACACCCGGAACCCAGCTACTCAGGAGGCTGAGGTTTTTGAGGGTCACCATGTGAAGTCGGCCCGGGCAGGAAAGTGCATGAGACTCTTAACCACCACTTAGCCACCAAAAAGCCAGACGTGTAGCTATGGAATGAAGTGGTTCAACACCAGCCTTCAGCAATAAAGTGCCCAGGACCCAAGTTCAGCCCTAGGACCGGCAGAGGGAAAAAAGTCTTCCTCTAGTGCTTCTGGGAAATGTGAATGGGAGGTCATGTCAACAGCGGCTCTTCCTTTTCCTTCCAGGGAAAGAAGAAGCAGAGGCTGCTCTGGAGAAGGGGGACGAGAGTGCTGAAAGTCACCAGTGGTGAGTAGCAGCACCCGTGGAGCACTGGTGGGGGCAGGGAGAGCGCGCTCGTCTGAGGTTCTGCACACCACCAGCTCCTACCCATCAGAAGGCTGAGGTTCTGCACACCACCAGCTCCTACCCATCAGAAGGCTTTTTCTTCTGGGGGAGGCCAGCGAGGAGTGCGGGCACTTCTGAAGTCATGCTAGCCACTGAACGTGGAGGCTTCTGGGGGAGGCGCTCACTCCGGCCCTGCACAGGCTCTTCTCCAGCTATGGTCTGGCTAGTGGTGGACCTTGGCTTCTTTGCTTGGTTTGCATGGGGCAGCAGCGTGAGCTCGCCCTCAAAGCAGTGGGGTTTTGTGGTCTCCCGGGCCCTGCTTGCTGCAGCTTAGGTTTAGGTTACTTCAGTTCTCCGCGAGGCTTCTCCCCAGGGGGCACGTTAAGTCCTAGGCAGTCCAGTTTCCCTTTAGCTCTTAGGTGTTCCTAGGAGCAACCATTTCAGGAAAACATGGAAATAAACCTCTACGAGTGTCTGAGACACATGGGAAAACAATCTGGGCTTGATAGATGCTTACCTAATGTCACCTTTGCTTCTTGGAAATGGCAGTGGTAACGCATGGTCAGGTTCCGGCTGGCCTGAGAATTGAATTCCTTGCACCAGGTACTTAGCTACATTCCCAGTACTTTTTTTCTTTTTGTCAGTTGTGGGGCTGGAACTCTTGTGGGCCTGGGCGCTGTTCCTCAGCTCTTCAGCTCAAGGCTAGAGCTCTACCATTTGAGCCACAGCGCCACTTCTGGTAGTTTATTGGAGATGAGTTTCATGGACTTTCCTGGCTGGGCTGGCTTCAAACTGTGATTCTCAGATCTCAGCCTCCTGAGTAGCTAGGGTTACAGGTGTGAGCCATTGGTGCCCGGCCGTTCCCAGTTCTTTAAACATGTTTTTACATAGGCCTTACAAAGTTGCATGAGCTGAGCCTGAACTTTTGTGACTAAAACCACCGTGTCCAGCGGCTTTTTCTTTTAAGTGGTGCTGAGGATGGGGATGAGGTCAGTGCTTCACATGTGCTAGGCAAGTGCTGTACCCCGATAAGGTTTTTTTTTTTTTTTTTTTTTGGGTCCGGTCATGGGGCCTGAACTCTGGGCCTGCTGTCCCTCAGCTCTTCAGCTCAAAGCTAGCGCTCTACCACTTGAGCCACAGCGCCACTTCCGGCTTTTTTCTTTTTGCTTATGTGGTGCTAAGGAATCGAACCCAGGGCCTTGAGCATGCAAAGTAAGTGCTCTACCACTGAGCCACCTTCCCAGTCCCCCCGATAAGGTTTTATGGAGACATTTCAGGAGGTGGCTGGCTTGTGCCCCTGGCAGGGAGGATCTGGAGAGAAGTGCTATTGGTTCAGGTTAAAACAATTCCTGGAGCCTCCCACCCAAGGTGAACCGTGAGCGTGCTGTCCCTAGTCTTGGCACACTAGCTTCTCAGGTCTCTCATACTTGATGTGGATCAGTAGTGAAGTCTTGCTTTTTACGTTTTAGAACCCAGGGCCCCATGTATGCTTGGCAGGTGCTCTGCCACTTGAGCAACACTCCTCTGCATTTCCAAATCTTCATGACAACCTGTGGCTACTGTTACAGGAAAAGGGACATTTGGACTGAGTGAGGCCTTGCCTGTGGGTGGAGCAAGTGTTTTTTTTTTTTTTTTTTTTTTCCCGCTGGGGGGGGGCCGCAGGAGTTTTTTTTTTTTTTGCAGGAGGTGAGTATGGAGGGGCAGCGGGGCCTCGCAGGGACGCTGCCCCAGTGCTGGCCCTCAGCTGGCTGCTGCTTCCCCTGTAGGTTTGCAGTGCTTTGTGGTCAGCTGGCTGAGCATGAGGGCATCCAGAGGCGCATCCAGAGTGGCTTTAGCTTCAAGGTGAGCGCAGGCTCCTCCTCCCCTCAGGGGCTAACCCAGGCACCCGCTCTCCCTCTCCCTTGCTTAGAATGGCTTTCTCACATCCTCAGCATCTTGTTCATGAAGCTCTTCTCTTCCCTCACGTTGGTCTTCTTTTCCCTCAGGAACACGTTGACAAAGCCATTGCTCTGCAGCCAGAGAACCCCAGGGCTCACTTCCTTCTTGGCAGGTGGTGCTATCAGGTGAGGCAACACAGGCCACACAGCAGTCCTGCCTGCTCACTCACACCTGGCCGCCCCCCATCATTTTTTGAGATAGGGTTCCACTCTGATCCAGGCTGATTTTTCTCCTTCCCGAGGGCTGGGATGGAAGGTGTGAACACCAAGCCTGCCTATTGTTCTTATTCACACTTTAATCTTTTGGTGACAGGTCTCTCATTTAAGCTGGCTAGAAAAAAAAACTGCAACAGCCTTGTTTGAAAGTCCTCTTAGTGCCAGTGTGCAGGACGCCCTGCAGAGCTTCCTGAAGGTACTGGGGATGGACAGGCGGGCGGCAGTCAGAAGTGCCAGGGTAACCTTGCTCTTCCTAAGGACATTGAATTTACTGGGACCCTTAAATATGGAAAAAACGAGAACTTACTAAGAAATAGACTCACAAAATTTCTTCCTCCAAGGCTGAAGAACTACGGCCAGGATTTTCCAAAGCAGGAAGAGTGTATATTTCTAAGGTAAACATGAAGATACCCATCTTAGAAACATTTTTTTTGAGAATAAGACGACCTAGGATAGTGTGTGCATCCTGAGGTTTCATTGTCCTCTCTCCTCAGTGCTATAGGGAGTTAGGAAAAAACTCCGAAGCTAGAAGGTGGATGAAGCTGGCCTTGGAGTTGCCTGACGTCACTAAAGAGGTAAGAATTCCTTGAAGGAAGAAAGGCCTTAAATGTACAACTTAGACAGGTTCATCCCCATGCTGGGCCTGGCAATACTTTTTTTTTTTTGGGGGG